TGTTGTTGATGTGGGTGAGAGTTAGTTTCTCTAAACACTTCATGGCAACCGGTATGAGTGCCACCGGCCTGAAGTCATTTAGGGTGTGTGTGTCTGTTTTTTTTTGGGGGGGGACTGGTATGATAATGGAGGATTTGAAAATTCAAGGGACCACAGCCTGGGATAGTGACAGGTTGAAAATGTCCGTGTACAGTATATGCCTGCCAGTTGTTCCCCACAGGCCTTCAGCACTCTGGGAGGAACTCCATCAGGTCCCGTAGCCTAATGGGGGTTCACATTCCTCAGAGTCTTAAGGACCTGCGTGTGTGTCACCTGAAAGACTGTGTCCGTGGGTTCACAGGGAGCTTTTGAGGGGAAGTCTGTGTTCATCCTGTCAAACCTGTCATTGAATGTGTTAAGGCTGTCTGGCAGGGTGGTATCTCGTGGGTCTGTGGTTGCTGTGCGCCTCCTGTAATTTGTGACGGACTGGATTCCCTGCCACATACTGCATGTTTCTTGATTGAGATAGTAGTCTTCAAGTTTTTTGGAGTGAGCCCGTTTTGCAGCTCTGATTGATTTCTCAAGCTCAAACTGGGCTCTCTTGTATTCCACCTCGTCTCCTGACTTGAAGGCAGCCTGCCTCTTCTTGATTTTCTGCTTTACGTCCTTATTAAACCAGAGTTTCTGTTTAGTGTATGTACGGATGGTCCTTGTAGGCACCAGCTGATGTATCCACTCACCGTTTCTGTGTATTCATGAATGTTATTGGTGGCTTCTTTGAAAATGTTCCAGTCTGTGGCCTTAAAGCAGCCCTGCAGGCTAACTTGTGCACTGTAGTCCAGGTGTTAATGGTTCTTATTGTTACTGGTCCTGTCTTCAGCCTTCCGTTATAGACTGGTTTGAGTCGGATTGCCAGGTGATCAGACTTTCCAAAGTGGGGTTGTGGTTCAGCTGAATTAGGCTTTTTTTTGTTGCTGTTGCAGTGGTCCAGTGTTTTATTTCCCCTGGAGGGGAAGGTCACAAACTGATGCAGTTTGGGCAAGGTTTTCCGGAGGTTACAATGGTTAAAGTCTCCCACAATAATAACTGCAGCTTCAGGAAATGAGTTTTCATGCATGTTAATTACGTCATGTAGCTCCTTTCATGCAGCCTCCTCCTTAGCAGATGGAGGAATACATACAAAACTTATAATGAGACATTGCAGTTCTCTGGGCAGATAAAACGGTCTCAGCTTCACAGTCAGATATTCCACATTTTCAGAGCAGGATTTAGAGATGATCTTACTGTCGGTACACCAGGACTGTTTGACGAGCATAGCTGTTCCTCCTCCTTGTGACTTGCTGCTTTCCGCAGCACTTCGGTCCTGTCTGAAAATAGTGTAGCCGTCTGGTGTTACTGCTTCATCTGGTTCCCTCTCCCCCAGCCAGGTCGTAAAAACACAGTATGGAGCAATCCTGAATGTCCTGCGTGGAAATCCGGTCGTAAAGTTGGTCCATCTTATTTGCCAGAGACTGGACATTTGCAGCCAGTATGATCAGGAAGGTTAGCCTTCCTTTGCTAACCAGACGTCAGAGCCTTTGGTCCGCTCCTCCCCACCTGCCGCACTTACGCTTGGGCCTGTTCTCAGGAGAGCTCCCTGGCAGGGGCCAGTCTAGCGGCGATTTCTCATAGCTTATTAGCTCAGGATAGAATTCCAGCGCGATAGGGTCGAAAAGTCCGAGATGACTGCGCTCTTTCAGCTGTAATGAAGTCGTCCAGTCATAGAAGCCTTTTGCAATGTGTGCCTTAATTTGGCACAGAAACGTAAGAAGTAAAAGTAAACAAAGAAATAAGTTGATTCGGAGAGCTCTTCGACGTCACACACTGGGGAGTGCCATCTTTCAATGAGGGTCAATAAGGTGAAGTTTTTGGGTGACATCATTGATGAAAAACCGACATGGAGACCTCATATAAATTACTTAAGAACAAAAATGGCAAAATCTACTGCAGTATTGAATAAAGTGAATGAGTTATTTAATGATAAAGCACTATTTATACTATTAATGCAATAATTGTTCCACATTTGATTTATTGCATAGAGGTCTGGGGAAATGCATGTAAAACCATTACTAATACTATCTTCATTTTACAAAAAAGAGCCATAAGAATTATTAAAAGAAAGCATTACTATCACCCTTCAAATATATTGTTTCATAAATTAAAATTGTTAAAATTTCATGAGTTGCTTGATTATAACATTCTGCAGGTTATTTATAAGGCTCATAGAAATGTGTTGCCATCAAATCAAACATCCAATCACATTTTGTTAAGAGGGAAAGCTGAGTACAACTGTTTGTTAAACCAAAAATCTGAACAAATTTGAAGGACAGATGCACCTGAAATCCTTTGTGGCTCCTCCCCCAGTTTACCCACCCGGACACTGGGGGGTCTTGGAGAGGAGTCGATGTCTCTTTGTTGAGCTGAAGGCGATGGGCCAGACCTACAACCACCCGGGGGTGACCGGCGCGGCTGAGTCTGACGTGTCTCCTCCAAGAGACATAAGGCGGGAGCCTTGAGCTCGACCTCCAGCTGCCCTCCTTCCGATAGTCGCTCCCTTCGTGAACCCCGGCTTCCGTGTCGGTGTAGTAGCTCAAGGACGCCTCACTGTGCCGGTCACTATCGTTTCTCTGGCAGCCGCTCCCTCGTAGGATGTGCACTTCTTGTTGTGGCCGAGATGAGATTTAGTGACCTGTACAATAGGTCTCAAGGGAACTGTTAGAGAGGGGAGTTATCCTATCTCCCCTCTGGTTAATAACCATTAAAAATGAACTTTATTGTGATCTATGACCTCTTTTTTATTACCTTTCGCTTCAAAGCAAACATACTCTTTAATATGTTATTGCCTTGTTGCCTTACCGTAACAAAACTCTCTTGCAATCAGAGTAAAACCTTAAAGGACAACTTAAAATATCAATGTCCAGTCAGATAATTTGTCTTTATGATGCTGTAAGCAGTTTAATAGGAATTTGCTAGAAATGTCACATTTGATTATACAGATTAAAAATATTGATTAATAATTGATGGTGATGAAAATAAAAAAGCTCTAACTTGCTGATCTATCTTCCTAATTAAGTGGTGTCGCATTTTCTGGTAATTTAGAGACGGCAGGACAGGTTAGAGCAGTCGGTTTTACCCCCATGAGGTGCATCAGATTGTTGCCTGAAAAGATCTTAGAGTTGGACTTGGTCCAATTCGGTCTTCAGTCCTTAGACTCGCCGGAGGGGAGTCTGGCAGCTTCTGCCCAGATGAGATGATCTTCGGATCTGCTTGCTCCTCTTGCTCTTGAGGTCTTGCTGCTTTTGCTGCTCCTCCTCCGGTCGATGGCACGAAGACTCCTTTCTGCTGGACTGTTAGCCTTTTTATACTCTCTTTGTGTTGGCTCGCCTCCCTCCCTTCTGTTTGTGGAAGGATGGGGACATTCATTACGTGTTTTCTCTGTACTTGCCAGAATGAGGTAATTCTGTTTGTTTTCCTGCTTGGGGCTTTTAGGGACTTTTCTCTGTGGTGTTAAAGTCCACACCTCTGTTGTTTCATCATCCCAGGGAGGTGCCCTGCCTTTCACAAAGTCCACACTTCTGTTTGTCAAAGGGAGGTGCCCTGCCTTTTACCAGAAGCAGCACACACACACACTCAATCTTCCTTTATATTAGGACATACTTTGAGATATACTTCGATTCCTTTCTATCCTAATCACCATTTACATTTAAAAACACAATAATCATAGTACATTAGTTAATCATTCATTGCAATTAAGCATAATCATTATTTAGGTTACATATGTATTTTTGCCAGCATTAAAATCGATTAACTTCAAATCATTTCACTTCCTCCCTGTCGTCTCATCCTCTTTTCCTGTCGGGTCTCATCACGTTCCCTATTCTGTAGGGGGTCAAGTGAAGACTCCTTAGGTCTGGTTCCAATTCCGTTGATACCTTGAGTTGCTGGGTCTCTTGACAACCTCAGTAAAACATATAAAACCATGGAATAATCAGGAAAATGATGATAAATGCATTGGATCAGTGATTTTTTTCTTCTTCTGCTGCCTTTCATTTTGTTTTATTTGTATTGTTTTATTGTGTGAAATGTTTTGTTTGTTTTTAATGAATTGAATAAATGAATTAAACAAACAAACAAACAAAAAACAATGCTCAGTTGGGACTAATGAGCCTGTGTGTCAGGAAACTATCTCTCACACCATGACACCACCACCAGCAGCAGCCTGAACCGTTGATACAAGGCAGGATGGATCCATGTTTTCATGTTGTTGATGCCATATTCTGACCCTACCATCCGAATGTCGCAGCAGAAATCGAGACTCATCAGACCAGGCAACGTTTTTCCAATCTTCTATTGTCCAGTTTTGGTGAGCCTMTGTGAATTGTAGCCTCAGTTTCCTGTTCTTTGCTGACACGAGTGGCACATGGTGTGGTCTTCTGCTGCTGTAGCCCCTCCTCCTCAAGGTTTGACATGTTGTGTGTTCAGAGATGATCTTCAAGATCTCAGTTGTAACGAGTTGTTATCTGAGTTACTGTTGTCATTCTATCAGCTCCAACCAGTCTGGCCATTCTCCTCTGACCTCTGACATCAACAAGGCATTTGCTCCCACAGAACTGCTACTCACTGGATATTTTCTCTTTTTCTGACCATTCTCTGTAAACCCTAGAGATGGTTGTGGGTGAAAATCCCAGTAGATCAGTATAATTTCTGAAATACTCAGACCAGCCCGTCTGGCACCAACAACCATGCCACCAAGTCACTTAAATCACCTTTCTTCTTCATTCTGATGCTCAGTTTGAACTGCAGCAGATCGTCTTGGTCATGTCTACATGCCTAAATGTGTCGAGTTTCTGCCATGTGATTGGCTGATTCCTTATTAGTATTAATGAGCAGCTGGACAGGTGTACCTGATAAAGTGACCGGTGAGTTTACAAAGAAATCATACCATCTTCATGATTTTATCTGTCCCTTTGGTTTCCCTTCAGGGTACCATGGTCATCCAGAACCTGGAGTCAGTGCTGAGGGAGGAGGGTCAGTGGAAGTTCCCTCARGAGTTCAATCCTGAGAACTTCCTGAACGAGCAGGGAGAGTTTGTCAAACCAGAGGCCTTCATGCCTTTCTCTGCAGGTAAACTCACATCAAACAAAGAGACAAAATGAAACCAAACAGCTAGAAATGACCTTTTCTGGTGTCTCAGGTCCTCGGATGTGTCTGGGAGAGGGTCTGGCTCGTATGGAGCTGTTCCTCATGATGGTGACCCTGTTGAGGAAGTTTAAGTTTGTCTGGCCAGAGGATGCTGGAGAGCCAGACTTCACTATGGTTTTTGGGGCAACGTTGACTCCAAAGCCTTACAAGATGATGGTCCAGCTGAGGTCTGAACAGTGAGGAGTTGCGCTCTGCAGAAGCTGATAAAAGAACTCAAAGTGGCTCCTTTTAAAGGGATCCCTGATTAGTTGTAACATTAGACAGAATTTAGAATCAGAATTTTTAGAATTAGAATTTTTAAACTAAAAGTTCAAAAATATATTACATGGACGGGACCATTTTATTTACACGCAAAGCATTCTGGGTAAATG